TCCCTGACCTGCGCTCCACCAAATCCCAGATCCTAGCCCTGACCCCAGCCCACACTCATAGTATTGCTGCTGATTCCATGGATTTAAGCGACAGCCTGAGCTCTGGCCTAGCTGAACTCACGGCCAGGGCAGAGCCAGACTGCTGATAGTCAAATCCATGACAAAATTGTTTTCCCCCTGTTGACTGAGCCAAAAAACTTATCTTGGATTCAAGTAAATATGATAATATTAGACTGTTGCAATCATCCTCCTTGTGCTATATACTATCCTGGAACTGGAATAACAAATGATGTTGGAGTCAAGAGCTGTTTCAAGCACAAGAAAATGTATTTACTACACCTTGTGATCCATTTAACCTCCCTGTTCCTAATAAAATAACAATTATATGTTTAAAGGAGTTTATGACCAGCACTGGGTGGGGAGAGGGAGGGGAGCGGATCTGATAAGTATATTTTTCAACATTTTTAAAGATTTTTTTTTAATTTTGTTTGAACTTTTCCATTACAGTTTTCTTTGGTTAAAAGAAAAATTTGTTTAGTTTTAGTTGGGAAGGGAGGAGACTAATTGCTTCTTCTCATGTTATCACCCTTTTTTTCCCTTTGGAAAAAGGGGAGGATGGCAGAAATTATAGTGTCAGAGGCCTTTGATACACTTTTATTCATAGCACTACAAAGTTCCTGGCATCCTTGGAGTTAGGAGAGATAATGAAGCACTCTGGGATGCCAGAGGTCTCCTGTAGCACTACATGTACCAGTGACCAGTGCACATTATATATAAAACTACAAAATGTAGCACTGGAAGGGACCCCCCGTGTCCGCCCAGCTTGGCAACTGGCTCTGGGAGTCACCCAGGGTCCCAGCACCCTCCTGCGGTCCCAGCACCCTGCCCCTTACCGGCGGCTCTTTCCAAGCCTCCCACCAAAATGGGACAGCCACCTCCAGGCTGTATGAGAAGACTTCCTCATGCAGCCCAGGGCTGTTTGAGAACTGTCCTGGTCAGGGGCAGGCCCCATCCAGCTCTAGGCTAAGTGGGAAACTCTCCCCATGCAGGGAGCTCCCAGCCCCCACTCTGAAATTGCAGAGTGGAGGCTGGGAACAGGCTGGGAACTTGTTCTCTGTTCCCACTTCGCAGTTGCAGAGCAGGGGCTGGGAGCTCCATGCTTCTGGGGCAGGGGAACCAATAGTGGAGCCCACCCCAGCAGCAGGCAGCTATGGGAGGCAGGGAGCAATCTTCAGCCCCATGCTGCCTGCCTGCCTGACCGGGAACAAATTTGCTCCCAGTCAGCCATCAACATGTGCTGTACTGTGCAGTAATTAGTCCTGAGTAAATATGCTACTTGTATTTTATAGGTGTGTGTAATGGGCCCTATTCAATTTGGATTGAGCCCAAATGAGGGACAGTGATACGATCTGTTGATTCAGACCACTGTCCCCGATTCAATTTGGCTGAATCCAAATCTGACGAGTCGATACTGATTTGGCGAATCAGCAATTCAGACACAGGCATAGCTTTGAAAGTTTTTCCTACATACCTTGAGGTAGCAGCATGGCTTGTGATCACTGCAATGCTGGGGCAGATGGAGTGTCCCACAGGAGCACGGGGGGCTCTCCAGCATGCTCAGCAGCAAACCTGGAAGTAGACTAGCAGTACTTCCAGTACACTTCCGGGTCTACCAGGGAGTGCACAGGGCTGCCCCCACCCCCCTGCACCCGCTTGGCCCAGGGATTGGCTGCAGGGGGACCCTGGGTGACTCCCAGACCCAGTTGCCAAGCTGGGCGGACACAGGGAGGCCTTCCAGCATGCTCCCCGGTGGACCCAGAAGTGCTTCTGGTCCACTTCCGGGTCTGCTAGTGAGTGCACTGGAGAGCCCCCTGTGCTTCTGTGGGACAGTGCATCTGCCCTAGCACCACAGCATTCAGAGTCCCTACTACCTAGAGGTATGTAGAAAAAACATTTAAAGCTGTATCTACGTCTGAATCACCAAATCTGTCCGAATCTCTCTGAGTCGATTCGGAGGGTTCCAGTTCAATTTGGAGAGATTAAAGGGTCCTCTGATTCGAATTGGATTCAGAGATTCGGCCACTGAATTGGCCAAAGCTCCGCTGAATTGAATCAGGAACCAAACCTTCACACAGCTTTATTGTATTTACATGTTGCAAATTTACTCATGATTACAGCAAATTACTGTGCAGTAAGCATCTGCATGTGTAGATAGTGATGCTTACTGCACAGTAATTTGCTCTAATTTCAAGTAAAATGTCTCATGTAGATGCGCCCACAGTGAAGCAAGTTTTTAACAAAATTTTCATTCTTCACTTTTAAAATGTTTGAACAAAAATTTGTCAGTTGGTCCAGTCCAGGCAATTCTACTACAAAACATGAATAAGACATTGCAGAACCTTTCCAAAACTGAAGGTAGGATTGTGGATCCGAAGATCAGCATAGTTTTGAGAAAGTAGTAGTTTAAAAAGGCCTTGACAAAACCAATATGCATCTGTTTTAAGAATATGCATTGTTGGAAAAGGAGATTAAAAAGTAAAAGCAGGAGAGAAAATGCAGAGCAGTTTGAAGGGCTGTATTTAAACAGAAGAGGGATTATTGGTTGAAATGTGGATGAACATGTGCAACAGCAGCAATTAGAACTCGGGAATATTTTTAAAGAAAGAAATTGTTGAGTGAGGAATGCATCAGGTGAAATAATCATTTTTGAATGATGAAATGTGTTATCCTCTACATGCAAAGCAAAGACATTTGGTGCATGATACATTGTACATGTACAGCCTCAGATGCATGTCTTACTTTTTCTTTTCAACTTAAATAAAAATTACAACAGAAAAACCTGCAGAATTTAAAATGAGTTGTGATCTGATTTGACTTGTTTTAGCCATTTATAGAAATACAAATATATCTTGAATCTCATATTTTTTCTGAGAAATCTGCTGATAGAGGAGAGTGCTCTCTCTCACATACACTCTCATTCATTTATTTTATGGACTAAAATATGATTATTCATAGTTAAAAACCCTGAGGTGCCTGAAGGTAGAACAATATATTTGCCCAAAGAATTATAGCAGCTCTCTAAGTTTCTCCCCTCCCTGTGCATTTCACTCTGCTACACATGGTATGGAATATCCTTAGGAAGCATATTTCCTGCCCCTCTTGTAGTATACTCAGGCAACACTGAAAAATTATAGTATGTGTTAGACTTCATGTATGTTTTCCAACCAAGTAAAATGTCTGTTTTTTTCTTGATTATACTGTAAGGCCTGTTTAAGTACTTCCAGTACTCAAGCTAGCTTGTTTAAAGGTGACTCAGGTCCTCAATACTATACAAGAGAGTAGTTAGCCGTGTTAGTCTGAAATCAGGTAGAAAACAAGGCAGAGTGGCACCTTAGAGACTAATTGGTTCAGTGAGGTATAAGCTTTCATATGCAAAAGTCTGCTGCATCAGATGCTACAAACAACGCTGCAATCTTCTACATAGACCCTTAGACTGAGCATGACAAATGATGAACAGCAAACACTCTTGCTTGCATATGCTGTTCATGTTCGTATATCATCCAGATATTTGTGTGGGGAATGGAAATTCCCTTAAAATTAACAAAGACAAAAGCTTCATTTGTGCTAATGCCTGCCCACGGCAAGCAGAAGCGAACAGGAAGGTGTTCCATCTGAACAACCAGTCAGGATTCAGACTGACACACAAATTGTTTTTTTGCAATAGTTGACCACGTTGTGAATTGAGCACTCTAGCTTTCAGCCAGGAGAACATCCAGTCACCCACATCACTGCTCACAGTGGTTGGTATGACTCTCTTAAGCCAGCAGGGTTGGGTTTTTTTGTTGGTTTCTAGTCTCATTGATGGTTGGGCAGTTGTTCAAATACCGTTAGAAAAGCAGGGTTTGTCAGAACAAATCAGGCCTGTCTTGGCAGTTAGCACCTTCTATTTCCAGTGGGTTGATTTTTGTTTTTATTTTTCTTCCTTTCATTAAATCCTGGGCACAAGCTGAAATGACCCAGTGACGTGAAGGTGCTGTTTGATCCATCAACAGCCCCAGCCCCTTCCTCTAGAGCACGCTCAGTTCAAATGAAAACAAGCCACTGAATGTTCAGCCAAGTAATGCTAGGTGGCTCCCAGCAGTCAGCTGTGGGATAATGGGGGATTTCTGTGAGGGGGCAATAAAAGGAACATTGTCTAGATTTTAAAAAATCCCCATAGACTAGGGAACCATGCATTAGTAAATAGAAATTCAGAGAAATGGGTAAAATAGCATTTATATTTTCTATACTATTCTCCAGTTCTCAGATAACTTCCCTTATTTTTTTTCAGTCAAGATGAATAAATACATATTACTATCTACTATTACTACTACTAAAAACTCTTATAATTGATTTCACATTTGGGGTCTGTTTGAAAATCTTTAGCATCACCTATTAGACTAGCACTCAGAAAACCCAAGCAAAATCAGACTCCCATTGTGCTGGGCACTCTCCATATGCAAGATACTTTCCCTGCCTCAAACAGAAAAGACATATGTCATAGTTCCTGATAACAGAAGTGATTTCCTTCCCTCCCCCCCACCCCCACCTCACTCACATTCCCTTTCTTAGATATCCTTTTAAGGAATACATAACATTTACCTTTTGTGTACTGTGTATCAGATCCTGAAAGTCTACATGAGCTACTTGGTTGCATGCAATAGGAGGCAGTCTTTCTAAATTTTTGGTATTTTGAAGGCAGGAAAAGCTGATGACTGTGTGAGGTGAGGGTGGGGTGTGAACAGTGTTCGCTAGAATTGTTACCTTGGCATTTCAGTGCAACGTGGTGCAGGCAGCATAGGCAACACATGCAAATGGAACCTTCCTGGTGTACCTTGAGTTATAACAGTTTCTGGCATGAATAAAATAGTCAGATATTGAACATATGCAAAGCTGAAAGCCTCTGTGGATTGGCATGGGAATGACTCATGACCTTTGTTGTGGCTGTTCAAAACTTTTAGGTGGAGTGGCTGAAAAATGAAGAGGTGATTGATCCTGTTGAAGACCGGAATTTTTACATTACCATTGATCACAACCTAATCATCAAGCAGGCACGTCTTTCTGACACAGCCAATTATACCTGTGTAGCCAAAAATATTGTTGCCAAGAGGAAAAGTACTACTGCTACTGTCATTGTCTATGGTAAGTGAAGTGCAGTCCTGCAGCATATAGATTAAAGTATAGCCTTGCACATCAAAGGTAATTTCTGGAGTTCTCTGGTGCAGCCTGCTGCTGCCATCATATTTGATATAGAGGAACCACCTGTAGAGACCAGGAGCCTCTGCTTTAATCAACAAAACTGGCTGTCAGCTGGACACAGTTTGAATGGCCCTGATGTCCTTATTCCACTCATTGACATATACCCAGTACAGCTACAGCCAGGAGTCAACATTAAAGATACTCAGACTTCCAAGTAGACAATCTCACTTACTTTTTCAGTAAAAGACAATAACAGCACTTGACCATAAAAGGCATATTACTTCACTGGAGAGCTGAAGAGTCTCAGCCCTTCCCTCACAATGGAGAACTAGTTCAAATGGATGCTCAAATGTTCCTATATTTATATAGGTGACCTATTTACAGCATACGAATTAGTTGGATATTTTGTACATCATCAGAACCTCACAGACCAATTTCATCTAGGTTCATATCACATTCTGAACAAAACATTCTAAAAGCTCAATAAAACTCAAAGACATCTTATATGGTCCAGACCCTGCATATGATATGGGCATCAGTAGGGTCCCCATGCTATTATGTCATTTTGGTCTGCTTTAATGCCCAGCAACAAGGAGTGTTATAATTGCAGTGCCAGCGGAATTTAAGAGGCATTCTGAGAATATAGTTCACAGATCTTTAATCTAGGTTACAGAAAAACATTCTGGGAAAATAAGACAACAGCTAGCTCATTATTCTACATTTGCATATTCTGTACCACCATAAAAAAGGCCTCATCAGGAAGACCTCCATGAAGACCTTTATCTGTCTCCCATGAAATTATTTTCCTTGTGATACCTAAAGCAGGGGATATCCAGAAGGAAAGGACTTACTCTGGTGTCTGCCAGCTAACTTTCCTGGTGTTCCTTACAATCAGTTTAATTACAGGATAGAAAAGTGGGGGAAACATCTCTATCATTATCCTAAACATTAATTTCATAGTCAGGGTAGCAGTTATGTTTAATTGTAAGCAGTTGCCTCCCTGAAGTTACAATGAGGGCTTTTAGTTCACTTTGTATAGCAGACTGTCTAAATGGAGTTGAACAGCCATGTTTATAATGCTGAGGAAGGCCATGGCATGCTTACTGTGTGTTCGGACTGTTGTGAATACAGCAATGCACAAACATAGGTAGATTTCAACATATCTTCTCTATCCTGTCCAAGTCATAGGGAGTAGGCCATGCAGTTTAAGATTACAGGCAACAGACCTGTGTTGAGAAGCAGCCATTGGCTTGGAGTTGTGTTGTGACAGTGATAAGATTGAAAAATGTGGGATTAGGAAATTTGTGGAGCTAAAATGCTTTTCAGGACCCAGACCTTGAGACTATGATATGTACCAGCCGTGGGCTTTTTCCATACTGTTCTCCAAGTATGTCACATTGAAGTGCATAACAGAGAAGGTAATCAATAGGTTAGCTGCATCCACACAAGCATAGACATTTGGTTCCCTGAGGACAACTAACAGTGGGATACCTTGTGCCGCTGCTAGTTGTCCCTGGGAAACGCTTGTGCCACGTGCCCTCTGGCATGCAACAGGTTACCCCGGGTAGGAGAGGCTGGGGCCAGCCTTACCTGGGATTCTGAGGGCCTCCCAGATCTGTAGCAGTGGTGATCCTAACTCTGTGTGCCGCTCCGCTTTTTTTTGTGCAGATTTTTTTTTACCCTGGATATCCCCCCCCCTACATACACTCCTTTGCAGCATGGAGAACAGCTGAACGTGCAGTATGCGGTGCCGCAGACAGATATGCAGCATCACATACCTCACGGCCATTCGCACCTGAATGCAGCCCTTTAGTTCATTCTGAGCTGCGTGGCAAGCTGAGTATGCATTATAGAGATGCCTGGGCTTCCAGAAATGCAGATTGTTTTCAGGGAGAGGTCATTGCTTTAGCTTTCTGGGAACCTTTGCAGCAAAGACAGAAAAGAAATACAAGAGAAATAAATGAAAAGAAAACATGTCAAGGTGGGTAGAAGGTGCTTACATCTGAAAACAAACTATAGTATGGTCTCCATACACAGTGAATTATCTTATCTATAAATAATGCATTCTCAGTATGCATGTATGTTGCCTTACAGAGCTCTAGATGCATTATTCATCCTTACAGTGACTGCCATTGTAGGTAGATAGGTAAGTGCTTATTGCTTAACTATATTTGGTTTCAGAAAGAAGCTGTCCATCTTGCATGCAGTACGTATCATTTACAAAATGCAGCCACATCTCACTCAATGGGAGGGAGTATTTATAGGACTTTGACAAAGATCTTTGGTGTTTTTTGAGAGGCAGATTTATCTTTATTTAATGCTCTTTGTTATTTGTCACTTTTCAGTCAATGGTGGTTGGTCTATATGGACTGAGTGGTCAGTGTGTAACAGTCGCTGTGGGAGAGGTTATCAAAAGCGCACAAGGACCTGCACCAATCCTGCCCCACTCAATGGTGGTGCCTTCTGTGAGGGCCAAAGTGTCCAGAAAATAGCTTGCACCACTCTCTGTCCAGGTACAGTATAAAAGACTCAGAGCCCTCTGTGCAATTATTTCATTTTTTCCAACTTCAAACATTTTAAGAAGTGACTATTAGTCACACACACTTGTTTACTGAATCCAGTATTTCAGTAAATAAATAGTATAGTGTTATATAAGTAGATAAAGTAGTGCATGCACATTAGATCAAACAGCAATGGATTAAATCCCACTGATGCACAAAGCATGCACCATTATCTCAGTCTCGGTAATTCAGGAGATTTGCGTTACATTGAAAGCTTCAAATTTTAGGAGCTAAAGCTCTTGATCTGTTGAAAGCTGTGGAAATAAACTAGAAATTAAGCACAGAAAATTATTTTGACCAAAACACATTAGCAACCTTCTCTTTGCTGTACATAAACTTCTTGGTTCACACTGTAAAGATAAGAAGGGCATTTAAGACACCTGAATTGTGTGTGTGAACTTGATGGATGCCTCTGCCTGTCAATACATTCATACCTGAAGTGTTTATGCCTTAACATAATCTAAAATGAGTCAAATGCGAGAAAAAAATTAAAAATTATCATTAATACAGCACTATTCAAAAGCTGTCTAAACAACACACTGATTAAAAGAGTGAGTAGCTTTTACAGGCCAAATTCTGGCAGCTTTGCATGTAGTGCTTTCTCTAGTGCTTTCTTATGTCAGTAGTCCCATCAAAATCTGTGCACTACTGATATATTGCTGAAATAAGATATTATTGGATATGTGAAGGGGGCATGAAAACCCAGATCTTGGTGCTGGATGAAACTTGGAGCACTGGAAGTTCATTTCCAAACATTATTCCAAACTCTAGATATTAGCTGAGCTTATAAATTCTGACTGTTGAAGTCAACTCTTTTGAAAATCATGGGAATTTAAAGCACTAAGCATTTGGGTCTTCAGCTCATACAAAGATCAAGGAAGTAACAGTACTGATTTGACTGGGGACGGTGAGACCAATGTTCAGTCCTTGTGAAAATCCCTGTTTAGACCATTTATTTAAGTACTTAATTGTGAATTTGGGAGGCTAACTTTAGACTCACATTTTAAAAATCATGACCATGACTTTCATTTTCACAGTATTCCTTTAAATATGTAAATATCAAGTTCATAAATATAGATGGTAGCAATGGTAATAAATTACACATGCAGAATACATATTCTTGGGAGGTTGGCTAAGTGTACTCAGTTATTCCAGCAACTCCTATTTCATTGGCTTGAGTTATTTCTTAGAATATCTAAAATAATGTTCTATTGCAGACTCATTTCATCTTTATGGCTGCTTGCAGACGTTAAGAAAAATGTGCTTTACCAGAAGCAGCAGCACATTAGTTCGATCCAGCTCTGCAGTGTCTGCATAGATTGGATGCTTCAGTGGGGCTTTTTCGTGCTTTTAGCTAAAGCTGATTCAATTAGCCATTAGATAAAAGCACCAAGAAAGCCCTACTGAAGCACCCAATCTGTACAGACACTGCAGAGCTGGGTCGAACTAACCTGCAGCCTCTTCTGGGCATGCACTGGGCTTGGCGTGGGAATGCGCTGAGTTTAAAGTAAAGCACCATTTTTTTTTATTTCTTTTTTAACGTCTGCAAGCAACCTATGTTATAAAGGGACAAACAAGGATACCTTTCTGGTTTCTTTTTTTTTTCTTCTTATGTCACTTTTCCATGGATAAATTTCTTATTGCTTCAGTTCTAGAAAGGAAGAAAGGAGAAGAGGGGGGAGAGTGGATAGAAAGCAATAGAGAGAGTCTTTATCTATACTCTAGGGCAGGAGAAATACTGACTGCCTCCTTTTCATGGGTCATGTCTATATATGGCTCAATGTCTTAGACCCTTTTAATTGGAATAGAAAGACTTAAAGGTCTAAGTCAGCTCTTGGAATTCAACACAGGTAAGTGGTGACTGAGAAATGTAAGTATCTAATGGACATTTTGGATGGATGTCAAAATCACAGAAACCACCACTGTAGTTCACACAAATTATTACCATG